CATTATACAGACGGTACGAAAGATCAGATAAAAGACCCCCTGCTCTCCTTAAACAAAGTAAGACTTCATACACATGCGAGTTAAATTGCATCTGCATAGAATATTGCTCCAACAATTGTACCAGATCTTATAAACTCTTCACCAATACACAAGGTGCATCAAACGCTAAAAGAAAACATTACTCAAATAGTGGCTCATGTAAGAAGTTAAATCATAAACAGAGAACCACTCAAACCCTTTCTTAAAAGCAGCTCGTTCTACTTCAAGGAATCAGACCCCACAAGAAGACAAGTGTAATGGTCTGCATATAAAGACATTGAGCAAAAATGTCTCAGGATGTCGTATGGGCTCCAATAATATAAAATCAGATAACAACTCAGAAAACCCCTTTTTTTCTTTCAACAGTGTGAGACTCCAGCAACCGACAACCGTTGGGATGCATCTGCGTAAAAGAGTGCTCAAACTCCGAGACCCTTGCTTCCCAAGTCGGGATCGACTCTTCAGAGAGGTGGGCGTACCGTGTAAAGGCGGGCCCCTCCAATGATTGTACGAAAAGCCTAAGGCACAGTGCCCCATTCTGCGCTACCGGCCCACATCTTACCAGGAAATGCGCTAGATGCTGGTGCGGGTCTCCCCGTTCCGTCGAACTTTAGTCTGGCTGAGAGAACCCTGGCGTATACGGCACGGAATCTATCCAAGCCGGATAAGGTTTGGTGATCATGTGGTTATCCTCCTCCTTTTCCTTGGCCTCTTTTACTCTTTTCTTGACCAACTGATTCATTGTTGCGAGGAGGGTTGTCAAGCTTGTATAAAAAAAGACGTATAATAAATCGTTGATTGCTATTCTTGAACCCCCTGCTCTCCTTAAACAAAGTAAGACTTCATACACATGCTAGTTAAATTGCATCTGCATAGAATATTGCTCCAACAATTGTACCAGATCTTATAAACTCTTCACCAATACACAAGATGCATCAAACTCTAAAAGAAAACATTACTCAAATAATGGCTCATGTAAGAAGTTAAATCATAAGCAGAGAACCACTCAAACCCTTTCTTTAAAGCAGCTCGTTCTACTTCAAGGAATCAGGCCCCACAAGAAGATAAGTGTAATGGTCTGCATATAAAGACATTGAGCAAAAA